CGCATCAACTTCCAAAAACTCACCACTTTCAAAGCACTTCACAACCTGGCCCCTCCGTACCTATCTGACCTCCTCCACCCTGCCACTCCTGCCCGCACACTCCGCTCCTCCTCCACTCTCACACTCTCTGTCCCCCCAGGCAGACTCATCACCGTGGGACACAGAGCCTTCAGCCACTCTGCCCCCCAGCTCTGGAACGCTCTCCCCCCTGACCTCCGTACCATTGACTCTCTTCCACTCTTGAAATCCAGACTCAAAACCCATCTGTTCAGACTGTCCTACCCCACCTAACACACACGCACCCACCATCCCATAATGCACCGTTTTATTCTGTTGCTTCTGTTTTTAATGTTATTATGCCATGCACAGTGTCCTTGGGTGTTTTGAAAGGCGCTTTTAAATAAAATGTATTGTTTTTATTATTAGTGATTCAGCATATTCATTTCTAAGCCCATATACAGTGTATCCTTACAGGCCTTTCTGTTTCACTTGACGGGAGGATGGACTCTCCACTTAGCGCTTGGACATCTCATTATTATAGATTTGCTGGAGTGTTTGTTTCATTATTTTCCCATTACCTATGTCTTTTAAAAAAATAAAAATCACTCCACTATGTGCTGTACGTACACAACGATGGAGCTAGACACCGTGGACATCGTCAGTGGTGTCAATGTGGACCAACAATGGGTTGACAGTAAAAGTGGTGCCATGGAGAAGGCCGCCTTTTATCGAAACCTTTGACAAACTCAAAGGAGGTGCACATCAGAGCGATTGTAACTGATGCTATCAATTATGTAAAATATATTTTTCTTTCTTTTTCTAGGACTTGATCTCTGGTCCCTGAACAGAGGCTGACATCAATCAAAGATGGACAAAGCACATTTATTCATATTATGTCAGATATACATACACACATTGAATACAGTCCAGTTGACTGGAGTCCTAGAAGGATAAGCAAAGATTTAGAGGTCACCATTCTGGAATGTATGTTTTGTACAAACTTCATTGATGTAAGCCATTCATTTTTATTTTTTATTTTACCAGAAAAGTTGATCTAATAGTTTTATACCTACAGACAACTTGTGTTGCAGCTTATAGTGTTAGTAATAACAGTAATTGTGCTATACCTACAAAACGGTAACAGTGGTAATTATTCTGCATTTTCTATCGGAATAATAATGTTGCTGATGCTAGCTCGTCTTGGCTTCACAGATTTAAGAGTAGTAAAAAGATTACAAAAGTCTCATGCTACGCTAACCTCATAAGGCCCAATAAATAGATTATACAGTATACATGTATATTTTCAAAGCATTTCTATCTATGGAAATTTTATTAGAGTTAGGCTAACGTTTATACATTCAAAATATACAAGTATTTTTGTTCCCCTTTCAAACGTCGTTCATTCATTTATTCTATAATTTGGCTTCAGGCTTTTGACGATTCACTTTGCTTTACATTTGCTGAAGTATCACATCTTGGAAAATGTACACACCGATTTGGTCTAAATATCTTACAAAACAGTAACATTTCTCACCTCTGTTGTTGAAGTCATTTCCGCAAATCTGTAATTTGTCAGGGACAGGACTTAATCAGCCGTTTCTGTTAGGAATGTAAATCGGTGACCGTTTAACCGGTGGTTGACCATCACAGCGTTAACCGGTCAAAGCTGTCGGTTAAAAATAGAAAAAGGGGAGGTCTCTTAATAACACTATTTTAAGCCCTATTTGCACGTTGTGACGAGCAGGTTCGTCTAGCTGTGTGCGCCAATGTATTAGTAAACTCAGGGCCGACTTTCATGGCGCACACGCCACATATGCACGCGCGCACACCGACACATTTCCCCCCCTCCATTGATACGTAACATCCACACACATCCTCTCCGTTACTAGCCCGCCAAAGTTGCAGGTCAGAACTATATTGGGACACACATACACACACACACAGTATTTAAACTTTAGCGGGGGACCTGCGAGACGATGAATTAATCCGAGTTTTATAGCTTTAAGTTGAAACCGTGATAAGTAGGAGCAGTGGTGCATTTATGTTTTTGTGCTGTGTAGTTGTCACCCGAGGCAAAAGAATGTTTTGTTGTATTGTATTTCTTGTATGGCATATTTCAATTGGGAGAACAGGTTTATGTTGAAATAAAACAAAATATAAGCCATAATGTCAAATAAAGTAGACATAAGAGTATCGATGTCCACATGTTGAGAGTGGCCCAAATACTCAAAAATCCCAAATCAACAGGTTCTTGGCCTAGAAGTGAAACCATCACAGATTCAATGATTTTGGTTCGACAGTTGTGAAATACCGTTTGGTGACGGCATATGAGGTCTTGAGAAAATGGAAATGCATTTGGTCCGCTTCACTCCTTTGACAACATTTGAAATCTGTTCTTCACAGACATTGGTTAAATTTCATGAGATGCCAAATGAAAGTTTTGAATTATGATTACAAGACAACATGAACAAATAAAGCATCCCGTGATCTTTACCAGAAAGAGACATGACTCAACAGGCCCTTAACACTACAAAAGCAGCCACTTCCTTCAACATGGGTTGATGTGTCACTTATTAATCTAATACGCCACAAGATCAGCCTCTATATACACATGTATAATCATGGTCTTCTCTTTTCACCCCCAGCTTTAGTTTTGGCTGCGTTATATTATTGTGCGTTGGCAAACAATGGCCTATTAAGCATTAAAAGTGAGCGTGGATGGCAGGGTTCCCTGTTTGGTTTGGACAGACCAAACAGGGGCTTTCTGTGTAGAGTATGCCTTTTACCCCAATGTCCGTGTAGGTTTCCTCTGGGTAGTATAGGTTTCACCTATACTAAAAACCACATGATTCATTTCCAGAAACAAGGTTAAAACCGATACAGAAAAAAACAAAAAACAATGGCACCAAGATGCAGATCAGTGTTCCGGCATGAGTCTTTGAGATCGGATCAACAGGGACCAGAGTCGAGTTACACTGGATTGAATCGAATGTGAGCGTTTAAAGCCACTTCATAATTTGACTGAATAAAAAGTGTTTTTTTTTTCACAATCAGGCCATAACATGCAGTCTTCATCTGGTTAGAGACACACACACAGTGGGGCAAAAAAGTATTTAGTCAGCCACCGATTGTGCAAGTTCTCCCACTTAAATTAATGACAGGTCTGTAATTTTCATCATAGGTACACTTCAACTGTGAGAGACAGAATGTGGAAAAAAATCCAGGAATTAACATTGTAGGATTTTTAAATCCATAATTTATTTGTAAATTATGGTGAAAAATAAGTATTTGGTCATTTCAAACAAAGACGATCTCTGGCTCTCACAGACCTGTAACTTCTTCTTTAAGAAGCTCTTCTGTCCTCCACTTGTTACCTGTATTAATGGAACCTGTTTGAACTCGTTATCTGTATAAAAGACACCTGTCCTCAGCCTCAAACAGTCAGACTCCAAACTCCACTATTGCCAAGACCAAAGAGCTGTCGAAGGACACCAGGAAAAGAATTGTAGACCTGCACCAGACTGGGAAGAGTGAATCTACAATAGGCAAGCAGCTTGGTGTGAACAAATCAACTGTGGGAGCAATTATCAGAAAAGGGAAGACATACAAGTCCACTGATAATCTCCCTCGATCTGGGGTTCCACGCAAGATCTCATCCCGTGGGGTCAAAATGATCATGAGAATGGTGATCAAAAATCCCAGAACCACATGGGGGGACCTGGTGAACGACAAAGGTTACCATCATTAACACACTATGACGACAGGGAATCAAATCCTGCAGTGCCAGACGTGTCCCCCTGCTGAAGCCAGTGCATGTCCAGGCCCGTTGGAAGTTTGCCAGAGAGCACATGGATGATACAGCAGAGGATTGGGAGAATGTCATGTGGTCAGATGAAACCAAAGTAGAACTGTTTGGTATAAACTCAACTCGTCGTGTTTGGAAGAAGAAGAATACTGAGTTGCATCCCAAGAACACCATACCTACTGTGACGCATGGGGGTGGAAACGTCATGCTTTGGGGCTGTTTTTCTGCTAAGGGAACAGGACGACTGATCCGTGTTAAGGAAAGAATGAATGGGGCCATGTATCGTGAGATTTTGAGCCAAAACCTCCTTCCATCAGTGAGAGCTTTGAAGATGAAACGTGGCTGGGTCTTCCAGCATGACAATGATCCCAAACACACCGCCCGGGCAACGAAGGAGTGGCTCCATAAGAAGCCTTTGAAAGTCCTGGAGTGGCCTAGCCAGTCTCCAGACCTCAACCCCATTGAAAATCTGTGGAGGGAGTTGAAAGTATGTGTAGCTCGGCGACAGCCCCAGAACGTCACTGTTCTCGAGAAGATCTGCATGGAGGAATGGGCCAAAATACCAGCTACTGTGTGTGCAACCCTGGTACTTATTTTCCACCATAATTTACAAATAAATTCTTTAAAAAGTCCTACAATGTGAATTCCTAGATTTTTTTCACATTCTGTCTCTCACAGTTGAAGTGTACCTATGATGAAAATTACAGACCTCTGTCATTTTAAGTGGGAGAACTTGCACAATCGGTGGCTGATTAAATACTTTTTTGCCCCACTGTGTGTGTAATATATATATATAAATTTAGCAGAATGAGCAATCCATAGGACAATTTGAAAATCAGGAACCGCAGCTTTAATGCAGGAGATTTTAAGATTTTAAGACATTTTACTAAAATGTTGGCACTCTGTTCGCAAAATTTGACTTCCAATCTAGTTTTCCCTCTGTAGTTTGAGAGTCAGCTGGTTGGACACGGTCAGCTCCTGTGATGTAGGCTTCATAAAATCAGGCAGCTGCAGGTTTGGTCAGGTTTAATGTAATACCACTACATGACACTATTTGAAGTGGAAAGTATAAATATGAAGACATTTGCAATAGACCACAAAGTCCTATGTGTTTGCTGTTATTATTGCATATCCTTTGAACTGTTTGACTGTTGTGATTTCAGCCTATACAAAAAGGAATGGAATTTGGACTTACAGCTTTTTTCTTGTCTGCATTTCCTTCTTCTGCCGCCATCTGATATCTGAAGACAAATAATAGTCAACAGTTTAGAAATAAAAACACAAGGCCTAACTCAAGACTCCACTTCCATCATCAATTCAGACATCCCACAAAATAAAAGGGACTCTGATTTACAGGCCAAAGGGCCGTTGGGTCACAATAGTGCTGTTATTAGAATCAAAAGTTGTTTTTATTAAATCACTAATGTATTGTAATTTGGCTTATTTGTAGACTCCAACCACTAGGAGGCATCTGTTTAGAAGTTGTAATCAATAAATACAAGGAGACCACTGCATCAACCAGCAATGTCTTTGTGTACAAAAAAAAAACCCCTCAAAAATCAGCAGCAGTCAAACCCAAAATCTGCAAAATAACAATTGTATTACCTCGACAGTATAGTAGTAGTTTATTTCACACACATACACGCACGCGCACTAGGGGTGGGAACCTCAGGGTACCTCACGATACAATACGCGATTCAAAGCTCACAATAACGATTTTTTTTTATTTATTTTATTTATTTATTTGAAAAGGAGGGACAATACATATTAATGAACATTTTCACAAATGTAAATATGCCAGATCATAGCCTTAGGCTAATTTCCATCTGCAGACCCCCTGGCAGGTTGGTGTTAAGCATAGGTTAGTAAAAACATACAGAGACACTATATACAGACTATGTACAGAGAGACAAGGACGAGTACAGTGATCACTTGATAGAACAAACAATAAAACGAGTGGACAACAAAGGACAATATAGAAAAACAGTAACGGGAAAGCATCGACTGTATTGCACAAACCCCAATATTGCACATAACCTGACAGACCCAATATTGCACTGACCCATATTGCACCATTCTATATTGCACTGACCCGCATTACACTAAACCCCCCATATTGTGATTATATCACAATATGACGATTATCAATATATTGGTCAGAAATAAACTGTTATAGAAATCTTTTAGTAAAACGATCTGAATAAACACGAAATAGTGCAAGTTATTAACCAATTCTCAACTCTGGATTCAAATACAGCACATATTGGCTTAAATAAAAGAAAAATGTTAAGTGAACAAATACACATTATTTCATGATAAATGGAATGGAGATGCGTAATGTAGCCATATATTGAGTATTGATATTAATTTTTATATTTTTACTTTTTTAAATCGATACTTGGCAAAAGCATATCGATTGTGTGAGAAAGTATCATGATACATCACAATATCGATGTATCGTCACACTCCTAATGCACACGATATTAGCATCCTGTCCTTCGTAAGTCATTCTTGTACAACAACATCTGCAGAGTCCACAGACTATTTTGTGAATAGCTAGAAAAAGTTGCAGTCAGCACAGTAAGCCACATAGGTCGACTGCTCCTGGGAAGAGCAGATGATGAGGCACATCATGAGTGACATTGTGAGACGCTTCTGAGGAAGTTACAATCAAAACGTAATGAAGTAAGAACATCACTGTCTACAATTGTCTAAATAGAAGATCCAAATCACTTAATCTACAAGAAGACAGGTTGAATCTTTCGAAACCCCTAATGTAAACCATTAGATCATGTTGGAATATGTTCATGGGAGCGTCTTTTTTGAAGTTTCAGCGATTTCGCCATTTTCTCAGTTGAAATAAGCTCATTCTTCTATCACTTTGTATTGCTGGCTCTACCAACATGTGTTTAATCCTCCATCTTATTCAACATTCCGATTTCCTGCTGCTGGAAAGGCTGTGTCGATCCAAGTTGGCATTTCATCACGGGGAAGACAGAATTGTGTTAAAATAGACAACTCAAACTTGACTTTATGAATAAATCTTCAAAAATCACAGGGTAGTGCATCCAAATTTCCCCACGGTGGGAAGAATAAAGGATCTCTTATCAAGGCCCAAAGGAGTTAAGACTACAGCAAGTTTATCATCCATTTACACTTTATATTTAACTTTGGAAAAAGGAAAGGGCAGCGTGTGAAAAAGACCAAACCTGTAAAAGCTTCACCCCAGATTACACGGATTGTTACGCCCTCAGAGTTTGTCGTTTTATAACCATCGTCACCCTGACCTCAAAAGTAAGCAATAAAAACAAACTAATTTAGACTAATACTTTAATATAAAATGTGGCCAGTTTGTTGGTTTGTTCAAACACCTAGTCCTCCCCAACCAGTTTCAACATCTTGAGATTGGAGCCCCAGGCACTGAGGCGACACCGACCACTGCTCCTGACAGGCCCCAGTGCCGGGTCAAATGCGGAGGACACATTTCCCATTAAGGATTTGGGAAAGGTATGCTAATCAGGACCAATGTTCAAATGCCGAGATGAACCACGCTGAAAGGCGGGTTTAGGTCGGAGGTGTCTGCAGTCAATGTGTACAAGACCACAAACGTTAGTAATGTGTGGCCTCAGAGTTGGGGTTCATTATAAGGCACACAATATACTTATTTCACAATACACGCAATACATACAGCAGTTAAAATGACCATTTATTTTTAATCATGCATTGGTCCTAGTGATGAAAACAGTTTGGTGTCTATATTACGGCACAAGTTGAAAGGAGAGTGACATTGGTGAAAGAAGACCTTTTCGGTCAGTTTGAAAACCCCTTTTGTTAATGCATTCAAAATTAAATTGTTGAAATGTGTTTACTTGTTGAATCGTTCTGCAATAGAGCTGTTCTTGCCCCTCACAATAGACAGCTCTTTGGCCGTGACGCGCAGAGACTGGGATGCCCACTGCCGGCGGGAGAACGGAGCCACAGACGCCATGTTGAGGGGGAGGTCTTCACCTTAGACTGGAGAGGTCAGCGCCTTAGAGAAAGAAAACATAAGGGTAAGAGTGAGTAACCAATATTCTGAAATGTTATTTCCAATTTTTCTGATCCTCATGAGGTTTGGAAGAAAGAACCAAAAATACGTTTGTATTTCAACTAGGGGTGTGACGATATATATCGCGATACTTTCTCCCACAATTTGATTATCAAGTATCGATATAGATTTGAGAAGAAAAAAAAAAAGTATCAATAATTAATATATGGCTACATTACGCATCTTCATTCCATTTATCATGAAATAAAGTGTATTTTTTCACTCAACATTTCTTTTATTTATGCCATAAATTGGCACATGGTACATTTCTGACCAATATATTGATAATCGTCATATCGTGATAAAATCGTTATTGTGAGCTTTGTATTGTGTATTGTATCGTGAGGTACCCTTAGTTTAGTTTGTGAATGGGATCCAAGGACTGGGACAACAGTAATGTTAACTATGGAAGAATAGCAGCTCTGTAAAATCCCAATAATTTTGCACTGTTTAGTCCACAGGTTGCAGTTGTAAAATTCTGTTTCAGCTTAAGGGCCGGTGCAACTATGTACTGCTATTATTTTAATGCTAGTGTGACTTCATTGTCTTGTTTTGTTAAGCACCTTGTTGTTTCCTTGTGTGCGGTGCTATACAAAATAAACTTGTCTAAAAAGAAAATGTATTAAAAGATTTTTGAAAGAAATGTTTAAAGATAATTCTGGAAAAATTATTTTACATATGACTTTTTGGTTTAAGTCATAATACATTGTTTGAGTTATGTAAAAAGATTCATTTCACTTGCTCCAATTGATTTAGTGGAGTAAATTACAAATACACAAAAATAATGTTAAAAACAAAATGGAAAGCTACGGCATAAAGGCACTTGTACAAGAGACAACAGATCATAGAGATTGATCCACACAAATCAAGTTTGTGTGGATTTGATGCAGTCTAGTCAAAACAATGCCGTTACAATCTGTATTTAGAGCAGATTATGATCATGAAAATGCAACTACCTTCTGTGTTCCGTGCGTCAGATGAGCCGCGCTGAGCAGACCGTAGTGTGCTCGTGTAACATGAACGTGACCTCGCTGCAGTTTACTTCTCTGTCAATGTACTTTCAGCCTCAGCACGGATCAATACTTTTAGGACATCACATTGTACCAGTCCAACAGTCGTATACTGCAGCACAAGCACATCCCCCTGCCCCTTTTGACTGAATTCTCTGTTTACTCCTCAAAACACTGATGTCATGGATAGTTTTCTGCTTTTTAAAACAAATGCGTTCGGGACAAGTATTGGTTTGTTCCCCAATACAGAACATTGTATGATCATATTTGAAGAAGTCAAAGTAGTTAAGACGGAATACAAAATACTGAAAACCTGCTTTAAAATGTAATTTACATATTTGTTACATGGTCCAATTAGAGTACTGCTTTCTATATACTTTTTCCCTAATTTTCCTAATATTTTAGTGCAACAATGCTGCCACGGATTAAAAACGTTTTTTTTTATGTTTTGTTCTTATCAATTAGAAAATAAAACTTTGCACTCACCTCTACAAGTGACATGTTATACCGAAATGTCTAACATTATTTTTTATTCTATTTTTTTCAAGCAACTCAATTCTGAATACCACCGAAAGAAAAAAAGATTGGCTAAAAATGAAAAATTAACTTTATGCACATACACTTGCACATTCGAGTTAAGGCAGATTACAGTAGCCTAAAAGTGCAGACAAACAGCCAATTCATGTCTTATGAATCTTATCTTAGGTCTTATGAAGTATGAGTTGGCCTTAATAGTTCACCTCTGACCCAGCCCGTGTCAAGCTTCTTGTGTTTCCTGTCTTGTTCTTGTGTTGTGTCTGTTTAAAAGTCAGAACGCCTCGTCAGAGCTCCATCCACCATCTGTTCCTTTTGTGACGCAGCAGTGAGCAGGCCCCCTGGGACTTCCACCACTCAGGAACCTGCTGCCCAACAAAGTAGTGTCCAGGCGGGTCTGTGCATGTCCAGTCTGCCACAGTGTCAGAGCTACACAAGTCCACACTACAGAGGGACAGCAGACTGTATGAAGCCTATGCACAGAGTGAAGAAGGGACTATTCTCAACTAGCAAATAATAATGTTATGGGTGTTTTAACAGTGGAGTTCACCACTGAGTCAAATGAGGGGTTCATCCTGATTGGCTTAACAGTTCAAACCAAAATTTGAAACCAATAAGAACAAAAACAAGAGGCATAAGGTTTACATAAGTTGTAATAACAAATACAACTGAGCTAATTGTCAGCGTCGAGGGCGAGAGTCAGCAATAAATCATATGCTGCAAGTGCCGGCTAAATGTACTGGAGTGTTGTTTTCCTGGAGTCTGGGGAAATGGATGAACTAAATGTAAACAAATGTCAGACATTTCAAGTAACAGCCATTTCCTTCGTTTATCACACGGCAAATAAAGTACTAAATGTTTCAATCAAATGTTTTTTATTATCACCAGATAGATTGCCTTGCCATGTTCACGTCAATGGCTCTGACATTTTTGCTATCCCCAGGTTTAAAAGACAATCACAATGTATTCAAATCAAGATAAATGATGCGTTTTTTTGCGGTTTCAGATGTTTTTAAGCACATGACAGAACAGCACTTGTCGTAATGGGTTTTATTGCGAAACCTCTTGTATGACTCAGTGTATGTGATGATAAAACACATGTTCTCACAAACTTGCTCAAGAACAAATACAGCTGCCTCTGCAGACAGCGCTCCGTCAGCACATGAATCACACTGCAGACGTCTCTCAAATATGCAAATGTACAAATTAACATGAACGCACAAGCTTCCACTGCCCTTCGAACGGGTTATGATTAGAAAACAAGAGGGATTTTAAAAGACTTTTAACCTTGTTCAAATATTGTTCCTTGTCCAAATATTCCTGCAATCGGTTTTAGCTCCACATAAAAAACTTTCGACATAAAGACATCTCCTTTGTTCCATTTTCAAACTTGTTAACTGGAGACCTTTGGAGCCTCTATACTTCATTGTAGTATCAGACACACAATGCAAATTGCGGGAACTGTTCAAGGCGCCTTTTATCTAGAATGCATTTTGTCCCCTCGCAAGGAGTGATCCCCAATTTAGAACCTGCGAAGAATACATCCCTCGGAGCCCTGGGTCTCAAAAATATTTGCTCATTCAAATCAATGGCCTGTACTCATTGACAAAACACCCTATACAGATAATATATTACGGAATACCCAAGCTACCATATGCGCTCACATTTTCAAGAGAAAATGGGCAGGGACGGCAGGATGATGACGACGTACTATTGGACAATCGGATGTTTGTTAACAGATCTTTTCCACTTCTTGCCTTCTCGTTGAATTTCAATATCATCATATTAAATTGATAGGATTGCCGCATACGTGCAGACGCAGAAGACATATTCATGCTAAAGACATTCATAAACCACACTTCTCCTACAAGAAAATAATAGACTGTTCCCAGACTACATACTGTATTCGCCAAGCTACCTAGCTGCTCATTGTACACTCCTTTTTTACACAGAAAAAACAATAGAAATCCATCCTATACCACCACCTCCAGTGCCTAAAGGAGGTCACGTGGGTTGTAAACAAACATGTAAAATGAAAACGTCATTTCAACAACTATTAGACGTTTGTAGGTGCGGTGACAGAGTGAGGAGCTCCTGCCTCACTGAAAACAATGTGTGGGCCAGGCCTTTCTGTGTGCTGTGTTCCCTCTGTGTCTGCTTGGGTCAATCCAACACAATCACAACCCCACAGGTCAAGTCTTCCAGCTAGGTCCTGACCTGGACATGAACACCTGAAGGTAGGGCCAGAGCACTGCAGCCTCTCTGCGCCTTGCAGACAAGAGGATGATAAAAAGATATTATATTGTAAATCTCATGTATTATATTCGTTTATCCATCAATCTTGCACTAAAAGATATTTCACATTCTAAAACATGACATGCCAAAGTAAATATTCAAGATCCTGTTTCAATGCCAAAATGAAACGCAAACAGCAAAAAGAGCACATTTAAATTCAATTTATTTTATTATTTTTTTATCTCAATAAAAAAATAAAAAATTGTGTTGGCTAAACCACATTAGATTCATGTTTTCTCAAGTAACACTTAAAAGCTGGGGCCTGTAACTTTCAAACCCGAAATAATGGAACTATTTAATTCAATCCATGTCAATAGTTTCTGGTACTAAAACACTTTGGTTCCACCACGAGTTTTCACAAGCATGTAATTTATTTTGGCTTCAATTTATCTTTGGACCAGCTTTTTCAGGATAAAAAGTGAAAAAGAGACGTACACCCTCACTCAGCCAATCAGCACCCAGTCCAAAGATTCAAACAGTGACTCACAAAGCTCAGTATGACAAATTAACACATTTAAGATTAAAACAGCATCTTGTGGTCAGATTTGGTCTCATAAATCTCTCGGTTGTTGAGACCAGTCAGGTATCCACGCTTTATGTCCTGTAAAATAAACTAATATCACATACTGGGGATATAGCAAATGTGTAGAAGTTTTTTGCAGTGAAACAAATGTAGTAGAATCTCCAACAATAGCAGCTGTACAAGCCACACACACTTATCCTCCATCCCATCACATCAGAGCCTAGCACAAAAACTAAAGAATTCCAAGTATTTCACCAACACTGACTCTGTTTGTGTTTGTAATGTTGAAAAAAAGTGGCAAGTGTGTTAAAGAGTGCCCAAACTCACGTCTCCTGCTGGGTTAGAATTAGGGTCTGGTCTGAGTCTGCTACACGCTGTATTTCACTGCTTCTCTCGTTTGTGAGTGTTTGCTTTTGAACAGAGAAGGAAGTAGGTGGGATCTGGAGCCAGCTCTCAACCAATCACAGCGCAGCACTCATCTCCACCTGAGCAGGTGGAGGCTCTGGTCCAATCACATGCGAGAAGAGCTGTTTTTACTC